GAAAATAAGTGAGGTTTAACATGATTTCGGAATTCAACCTCCCTTTACTTCTCCCTTAATTTTTCTAAAAATTTTCCTGCTTATTTTACAATTGATTTGTCTTTGCAAAAATCAGATAAGAAAAACTTTCATCCAGCACCACATTTTCTACAATTTTTGCCGCTCGCCCCTTGATCCCTGCAACCTCAATGGTCTGGCCAACCTCTTGGCCGCCAGCTCAACCTGGCCATAATGTGCACAATTTATTGGCATTGCGAATCTTTGGGGCGATGTTAATCGCGCCTCGGAGTCAGAAAGCCAGGCAGAGCAGAGCAGGGCAGGGCAGGGCACAGGTGAGCACAGGTAAGTCTGACCAAAGTAGCTACCTGGCAACCCTTTTGGCGTTGCAAATTTTTGCTATTTTTCACCAATTAAAAACGGATTCTGTACAATTTTCCATGCCATATGCAAAAGCAGCAAAATTGCAAGATTTTCCTATGTGAAAAATGCCATTCGCCCGCAGTGAAAATGGATTTTTCTCTGCGTAGGACTTGCAAATTTTTTCGGGTGAAACTTATTTATCACATTTAAAAGGCAATAAAAAAGAGTAAAAAAAAGGAGGGAGAGCGGGGCAGAGCATAAATTAAGTTTATGCATTTTAGTTATGCATTCGCACAGGCCCTAAGTGTCAAAATAATTCATTATAATTGCCCACAGATCATTTTTGTCAACGGTTTTTTTTTTTGTCTTAATGTTTTTATGTTTTGTTTGCTTGGCGCGCGCTGTCGACATTGCGTGCGTTTTCCTATCGTTCCCTTTTTTTTGTCTCTTTGGGGGTTTGCTTCTTGTATATATATTTTTTATTTTTATTATACCCTTGCAGGGTATTATAATTTAAGTCAGAAGTTTGCAACGCAGTGAAGGAGGCACCTCCGACCATATAAAGTATATATATTCTTGATCAGGATCAACAGCCGAGTCGATCTAGCCATGTCCGTCTGTCCGTCTGTCCGTCTGTCCGTCTGTCCTTCTGTCCGTCTGTCCGTCTGTCCGTCTGTCCGTTTCTACGCAAACTAGTCTCTCAGTTTTGAAGCTATCTGAATGAAACTTTGTAGTTAGCCTTCTATATACTCTCACTCGTATATATGTCGGAACGGGCCGGATCGGACGACTATATCATATAGCTGCCATAGGAATGATCGGAAAATTTTTACAAAAAAAATTTTAACATTTTCAGTTTTCAATAGAATTGGATCAAATTTGAGATATAGCCATTTTACTATACTCTACAATTTTGTATAAAATTTTATGAAAATCGGACTACTATATCATATAGCTCCCATAGGAACGATCGAGAAATTAATAAAATTAAAAATTATAACTTTTTCAGTTTTCAACAGATTTTCATCAAATTTGAGGTGTAGCCATTTTATATTAGTCTTAAATTTTGTGTCAAATTTCATGAAAATCGGACGACTATATCATATAGGTGCCATACAAACTATTTTTTGATGTAGAAGAAAAATGGAAATCTGTGAATGAAAAGCTGCAAATATAATATGTATAGGTGAATGAAATGAAAGCAGGTATTACTTCATTGTTTTTTAACACAAATATATATAATTTATATGGTATGGATTCCTAGTCATAGAATTTCTATCTGCAAGGGTATATAAACTTCGGCGTGCCGAAGTTAGCTTCCTTTCTTGTTTTTATTTGTTTTATTTTTGCTTTTTTGGCATGTCGTCGCCAGCTGAGAGTGAATGAGTGAGTGAATAATTGCAGGCATGCCATGTTGTTTATACTAAACTTAATTAATGATGACTTTTATTTATGAATGCGTGGCCAGGCGTCAGGGCTTCGGTCACATAAATTGCCGCTGCTCTGGGCCACTCCTACAAAACTGAGGCTAAAGGTGCGTACATATGATGGCGGTAGACCATCTTCTTCGATTGCTAAAAGATCGGCGGTTAACCCCAGTTATAAGGATTAAGTTTAAACAATAAATTGTTTAGATTGGCCCGCATGGAAATGTAGATCTATTTCTCTACCATTTATCATAATTAAGAGTCCCATAAATTCTAATTAGGAGTTTGGAGATGAAGTATGGTACTCTTTTAAGTTGACTTAATTTATAAGAGTTTTTTAATTTGTTTAGAGAAGAAAAGTAGCATTTAATTTAAGTAAACGAATTTATTTTATATTTTTATGTTCATTTTTGTGTACTTTTCGACACTTATTTAATATTTCTATATTTATTGTTATATTTTGTTATAATTTGTATTAAATTAATTAGTTCTACCTATCACGAGAACTAATTAAAATGTTTAAAAAATTCAAATAAATAATAATTAATCTCCTTTTGTTTCTCTTTTTAAATTAAAGCCAAATGTTATTTTAACTTTATTATTACATCCTCCCTTACATTTTTAAATATAGTTTCTTATTTTCTTAATTAACCATTAAATTATCCATAATAATTTTAACGACGTTCAGCAATTTTAATTAGTTTTTGTGCAGCTGTATATCAGTAAGTCTTTTGTGTATGTGGATTGCCCTGGCCACCAGAGCGTTCCACTTGATCTTTACATATAGAAAAATATTAAACTCTATAGAAATATTAAAAATATTATATAATCAAATATTTAGTTAAAATTTTGGTTGAATTTAACTGCAGGAAGAGAAAGTTAATATTTGAGCTGATATTTATCGAAATTTTTACATGACAATTTTTTCGTCAAATCAAAGTTTAAAAAACGCATAACTAAGCCAAAAATGCATTAATTTCAATTCGGAATGCTGTTCTGTGCTTGTTTTTATAAGGTTAAAAAATCTGCATAAGGAGTTTAAAAATTAAAGAATATTAAATTTTTGTCAATTTTTGACATTTCAATATATAAATTATTAGTCATAAAATTTGAAAAGTAAATTCGAAAAAATTGTTTTCTCCCAAACATAGCTAGATCGATTCGGCTGTTCATGCTGATCAAGAAAATATATGAAATATAGGGCCGGAAATGACTCCTTCGCATCGTTTTAAGCTTCTGACTAAAATTATAATACCATTTTCTGAGGCGATATTTCTAAATATTATTATTTGACAAATCAAAGTTTAAAAAATTCATAACTCAACCAAAACAGCATTAATTTCGATTCGGAAAGCTGTTATGTGCTACTTTTTAAACGGGTTTAAATTCAGCATACTGAGTTTGAAAATTAAAGGACATTAAATTTTTGTCAATTTTTGACAATTTAAAAATATAAAATTTAGTCACAAAATATCGAAAAAAAAATTCGAAAAAAATTCTTTTCTCCCAAACATGGCTAGATTGATTCGGTTGTTTATGCTGATCAAAAATATATATGATTTATAGGGTCGGAAACACCTACTTTACAGTGTAACCTTTTTACTAAAATTAGAATACACTGCAGGGGTATACAAAAATATATATAGTTATTTTGCTCTTTTGTCTAGTGCTTTTTTTCCTGTGTACATTTTGCTACATCGACGGCAATTGGCTGTGCCCCCATATATGGCATCGAGTCTGAAGCCCGCGACCGCAAAATATTATTGTGCTGAACAAATTTTTAGTTTATTTTGTTGTGGACCATAAAAATGTTAACATCATTATAAGAGTCTAACACCTGCAACCTGCAACTTGCGGCAGTTGCTGCATTTTTCGCATCTCGCATTTATCGCTAATCGAATTGAGTTTTGCCGCAGCGACAAAATGCGGCAAATGCTGCTCTCTGTGGCTCTAGCATCTATAAAATGCTGTCGCCATCCACATCCACCTAGCAGCTTGCTTTGCATTTTCTCACGCTCCTTATTGGATTTGGAACGCAAGTGCAGCTGGCAGGGGGGTGCCACTCAGAGATCGTTGGGCTCCGGAGATCGGAGATCGTAGACCACTGAGCAGCAGTACCATCCAGATGCCGGCATTTTGCGTGCTCGACCGCAGGGCGAATGTTTTGACTTTGCCACCGACGCCGCTTGCCGCCGCCAATGGGGACCCAGTCTATGGGTTTTTTGTTTAACCCATTAAAGACTATACTAAAGTTTAACAAACGAATAAAAATCAAAATATATTTTTACTATGCTATAAACTATAAAAAGTGCAATTATTGATGGCACTCCTTGAGAACACGCAGCAGCACTAAAATTTAAGCTGAGCTGTAAACGTATTTACCACTGGTAATAAATTGATTACAAATTTTAATAAATCAATTTCATCACCAAAATATTATTTTTAATTTTTCAAGTTAAATATTTATAAATCAATCAAAGAATGCAAACTCTTTTCTCATAATAACCTATTTCCTCTTTATTCCCAAGCTAAGTTAAAAAACCTCATTTAATTAATTTCCGGTTCCCATATATAATTAATGGGTTAACACCTCTTCTACCTCCTCCTCCTTGTACCCTTCCTTTAAGGCCAGTTGCAATCAATGCAAAGTGAGTGGCGACCGTGCAACAATGTTGCCTGCCTGCCTGCGCCTGTATGCCACACAGCTGATGGCGTTGGCCCGATGTCCAAAGGCGATGTTCGAGCCGATCCCACTGGCTATATGATTTATGTCCCAGAAATGAGTTGGCGCCGTTTCCTTGGCTTTATTCGAGGGGAAAATGTTGTTTGTTTGCCCATCTCTTAGATAAATAATGTGGCCGTTGATCAAAAGGGTTTCAACTTTCAAATTTGGGATTAATTTTGCAAGATTTGATTGCATGAATGAACAGAAGGCTAATAAATATGTAAGTATAAATATATTTACTTAAACAAGACAGTAAATAAAATCATTAAAAATATTTATCGAAATTTTTTCGACATATCGTAAAGGATTTTCTCCTTAATATATATGTACACCCCTAATTCGAATACATTTAAACACAGTAGATAATCTTTTGTAATGTTTTTTATTAGAATAATGGAATTATAGAAAACGAAAAAAAAAAAATAATAATAAATTAGGAATTCTTTCTTATTTTGTACAACTTAAAATAGTTGTTTTAAACATAAACCTTTCACTTCCGCGATTGGGAAGGCATTTCACAATAATGGTTTCCAATTTGGGAAAATATGTAATTTCGTTTCCTTGTATTTTTCGTTATACAGCCAACAAGTTGTTTCTTTTTAAAAGTATTATTTGTATCACATAGCATTTCGCTATAAACCTACAACTAAGTTATATAAAATATAAAGTCCATTTCAATTGTTATAGTTACAACCTTAGATACAAGTGTATGTTTCTTTGTTCATTCATTTGCAATTTATTTTGTTTGCATTTGTACAAAGCATTCATCGTTCATCGCAATAGAGTTCATAACATTGCATTAACATGGTATATTGATATTGAGAGTATTCAAAAGCTAACAGGATACGCGCTATATGTAAAAAGATGTAAGAAGAAAGAGCGGCTGATGCAGCCTCCTCTTTGGAACTAATGCGATTCGTTAGTGACCTGAGCTTTGGACTAGTGTTTCGTTCATCTTATGGTTCGGCCATCTGACTGGCCACATGGGCGAGAATGAACTGATACTGTGTTTGGAACATCTGCTGATACATATCCAGGGTTTCCTGCTCCATGTTACTCTGGACATCTTCGGTTTCCAATTCTTCACGCTCCTCGGATTGTAAATCCTCATCTTCAGGGGTATCAGAGCCTTTGTAGCTTGTTCCGAACAAACTAACATTGCTTCCGGTAGACTCAGCCTCACTCTCCTCCTCGTCCTCGGCTTCTTCCCATTCAAGATCCTCTTCTGATAACTCAGAACCGTACATCGAACTGGCGCCTGTCTCATCATCATCATCATACTCATCATAGTCCTGATCACCTTCGGTGGAGGAGTCTGTGTTATACTCGGAAGTATCTATGCCAGATGAAGCACTCTCATTGCTCTCCACAAAGCCACTCGATGAATTTCCCTCATCCTCCTCCTCCATATCCTCTTCATAATCATCTTCGTTGTCGGTGAACTCCTCAGACTGTTGACTCGCTTCGTTGGCTTCGGAACCAGTTGCAGGATCATCATCGGCGGCAGGAACTGGTGGAATGTTCATTCGATGCGCCACACGAACAGTCAGCTTGTTCTGTGCTTCATTTCCCTTGGACTTCTTTGGCTCCCAAATAGATTTTAAGCCGTAAATCTCATTGTAGGCGTCATAGAGAAGCTTTACGAAGATGTTGACGTCCACGTTACTCATTTTGCGTTTTATACTGTAACGAAGCAAACGTTTCACAATGGTCTCGCTGTGGTCTAGTTTTTCGATAAGACGGCAATACTTTAGCTCTGCGAAAAGGCTCACAGTTTGCTCATCAATTTTCTGTAAAATATGAATACATATTAATAAAGGTAAGGTTGAAATAAATAAGTATTCGCTCACCATTGGCTTGTCTTTACACATACGAGAAACAGGCTTAGAAATCGACCCTTTGTTCGCCTGATTAAGAGTTTGGATCTTGACTTTACGTTTGCGTTTAACACGGTTAACATGGTTAGAAGTTGACCAGTTATACATCAGCTTGGGGGACTGGATCTTGGCGCTTCTCTGGCGGCGCTTTTGGATTATCAAGTACTTCTTCCAAATTTGTTTCACATCGGTGTTCGAGTATAGGCTGCTAAGGGACTCGCTCCTGCTGCCCATGCTGCAATCCGAACTAATGCTACTGGCATCGTCCACCGTGTTGGAGATGACCATGGCCTGCAGGGTCAGGGAACTAGTTGCAGTGGGTGCTGCCAAGCAGTAGGTTTTGTTGTTGATGGAATTAACTGGCGGCGCTGGTGGTGTCAATGTGTGATCTTGTGTCAGGTCCAGAGGTGTCAGCGATGATGGTGTTAATTCTGGTGAAATAAACTCATCCGGCTTTTGGGTATTATTATTATTTGGTAGATTCTCTTTGTTCTTCTCTGTGTCGTTCTCCATTTCTAGTTTAGTTACCTTGATTGTAGGTGGAGGCTGCTCCTTCAGGGAGTCTTTGCCAGACGCCTTATCCGGCTTATCTTTACCGACACAATAGTTATTTGATTTGATGACATTTTCCACTAAAATTGAATTGATTTTTTGAGCATCGTTCTCATCCAACTTTTGTGGTATCTCTGTGTTTTCCTCTTCGCAACTACCCACTAGTCGGTCTTCCATCAAAGCATCCTTAATGGTTTCCTCTAGTTTATGACAGGCAACAACGGAAATTTCGGGTTTATCTTGGTTGGGAGCACAAGATGCTGGTTTGTCCTTCGTGGAAGGATCTTTAATATTTGTACCTTTCTCCTCTTCAGCACACTCAGTCCTTGAAGAAACTCCTTCTGGGGCAGCTTGAGCCTCTTTGGCTAATATATTTACTTTATCTTCCTTAATGTGAGCATTCATTGGATCTTGCTTAACTGGTGAAGGTTCCGCCTGCTTGGGAGCATCCATTTTTTTGAAGAATTACCATCTGCTGAAGTTTTCTCCTCCATTAAGGCATCTTTCTTCATTGAAGCATATCCAGCTGCCTCCTTAGTTGGCCCAGCAGATGTTTTTGGTGCTCCCACCTTCTTGGGAAACTCTTGCAACTGCTGAATCTCCTCTTCCTTGATGTAATATGGAAAAGCATACGTTGTAAAATTCCAAAAATCCAAACCCTTCTCTGCGTCGTTGGGAAACTGCAATACGGACTTGCCAGTATGTGCCTTGCTCAATATACCCTTGAAATGGTCGCTCTCTGCATCCTCGTACACCAGCGTAATGGCAATACCCTTCGATCCAAATCTTCCCGCTCGACCAATGCGATGCAGATAGTCGACATGATCCCTGGGCGGATCGAGATTCACAATTAGGTTCGTGTGCGGCGAGTCCACGCCGCGGGCGAACACATCCGTGGCCACCAGAGTTCGCATTTTGAAGTAACGATAGCAATCGAAGACCTCCGAACGCTCTTCTTGGTTCATGGCACCCGAGATTAGGTGGCACTTGACGCCACGGCGGGCCAGATAGTTTCGGAACGAATCGGCGCGCATTTTGGAACTGGCAAAGAGCACGACCTGCTCGTAAGGCACCAGGTTAAAGATCTTGATGACCGCCTCCACCTTGCAATTCATCTGTTCAATGTTATTGATCTGCCTGGGCAGCTCGTAGACAAACTGACGGATGCCCAGAAGGACGGTGGCCCGCTCGCTGTTCGATATAAGCACCGGCTTGTTCATTGACTTGGCCAGCTGCTCGTCCAGATTCCTCTCGTAGGTGGCACTGCAAGCAATCTTTTGCATCTGTTGAGGCAATTTTCGAATCAGTTCGATAACGCTCCGGTAGAGGCCATTTAGTTGATATAGCTGATCAGCCTCGTCCAAGACGAGCAGATTCATATTGTTTAAACAAAGTACATTGTTCCTGTAGAGATGTAACAGTCGTCCAGGCGTTCCAATGACAACATCGCAATTCTTGATGCGTCTGCGATCGGTGATGACATCGATGCCGCCAATAAAGTAGCTTACCTTCAGTGTCGGCAGGAATTCGCCCAGGCAGCTGATGGTCTCTTTCACCTGAACGGCTAGTTCGCGGGTCGGCACAATCACAAGGGCCTGCGGTGTCTTTATGCCCGCTTTGAAGCCCTGCAGGATTGCTATCGCATAGATCAGGGTCTTTCCAGTGCCGCTCTTGGACTGTACCAGCATGTCTATTGCGAATTGATGTTATAATTACAACAATAACCATCCTATTTAAGGCACTCACCCTTCCTAGTCAGCGCAATGGGTATGGCAGCCGCCTGGATCATGGTCGGTGTCAGGAAATTTTTGCTCTGCAGTCCGAGCACAATTTCGTGGCGAAGGTTGAGCTCGGAGAAGGTCTTCACCTTGCCGGGCGCCACATCATTGGTGCGCCGCTCACCTGTCGCCAGATTATGCGCTATTTCGCGCTGCATCATAAATGTTTTTCCTTCTTTTTTTGTTAACAATTTCAAAACGTTTCGGTTTACTGCGAATTATGCCGGAATAGAGATGGGAAAAGGGACGAGACGCTGGTGGCACTCACGGTATCGATATTAACGATGACACTTCACAACTATCGATATTGCTGATACGAACACTTTCAGCACTGGTTTTAGTTAAACTTAATCACATCAAAATAATGTTGTTTTTAAAAATTATTTTAAACTAATAATATAAGAATAATATACTATAAATACAAAAATCCACCCTTTTTTAAAACCATGTTGTGTGTTTTAAATAAATTAATTTATTAAATTATAAATAAAAATAGTTTTTAATTGATAATTTAAAAGTTTAAAAGATACTTTAAACATAAAAATAAATAAGTTTAATTTACCCAGTTTTCGAAACCATAAACGTTTCTACGATATACATTTGGTATTTAATATATTAATATATTACCATCGATTATAATCGCAAACACCTACGTTTTCTTATCTGGTATAAAAATACCAAATCACAGTTTTGAGTTAACTGTTGCCAGTATCTCCAAAACTGTACATATAGGCGGGTTATTTAAATTCGTAAATATTAATTTTCTTCTCAATAAAAGAAAATGTTAATGACAATGTTTCAAACATTAAAACGAAATTGAAGAAACAATAGTAATTTGTAGAAATAATAAAACAACTTTTAAATATATAAAAATATATATATTTAGAAATTATATTTACTTAAATACCTATTAAAATTCTGATCTAACAATAAAAATTTGTTTTGTTGCATTAAAAGAACGACATTATTTTATTGAAAGAAATTAATGAAGAATTTTAACTAATTTTAAGTAAGTGTTCGTAAAGTGGGGTAAGAATTTATACAAAATTTGAAAGAACTTCAAGAAAAGGAACTCTTTGTGTATACTTTGTTTACTAGTCATCGGCAATATAAATATAGTAGTCCGACTCATCGTTGTAATCGTAGGAAGCGGTTGGGCATGCTACCGAGTTCTGTGTTAACCTGGCTTGTTTTTCCTCATTGCTAAGCTTTTCAATTTCCCTTAGATTTGTTCTTTGCGTTAAGTAGAACCGAGAACATCTGCTTTTGGTTTGAGACTTGGCAACAGATCGTTGAGCTTATCAATGCGTTCTTTGATTCTTTGGTTCAGAAGCATACGTATTGCATTGTATACTTTGAAATTCGTTAGGGCCTCTGTTTTTATTCCTACGTACTCGTCTCCCAATTTGAGAACGGTCCGAATTTTGTCCAATTGAGAGCTTAACTCTGGATTTCCCTGACAATCGGCCTCATATTTCCTTAAAATATCCTTAAGCATTTCGTTTATATCGAATGGCTGTAAAAGCACGTGACGTATGTTAGATTAACACCGATTGTATATTGTTTATACTTTCCTTCATTGTTGTTGTTGTTTTTATTGTTGTTGTTGGTGTTATTGTTGTTGTTGTTTTTATTGTTGTTGTTGTTCCTTGTGTTGGAGAAGTTTCACCTGTGGGATTTGTACCCGTAGTCGTTGTGTCATCGATTTTACCATAAACTATGCCCAGCAAAATTAAATTTAATAACCAAAACATTGCACTGAATTTTAAAGAACTAAAATTAGTAACTGACGATTTCCAGAAAAAGACTGGTCTTTTTATAGGCAACACCGAAGGGTTGGAATGTGTTTTAATTAAGATAAAACTCACGTGTATTCCGGAAATAGTAAAAGTTTTAACCTATTTGGTTATGTTATCAGTAAAATGTAATTATATTCCGTCACATTTCTCATTTACTGATAAGTTTTAATAGGGGAGAAATACTAAAACGCTCATTTGAGTAGAATTAGTATTTAGCAGAATGTGAAATATAATCGAGAGGGGACGATAGAACCAATATATTAATATTTACATATATAAATCATTTTCGAAGCGGAAAATTAAACAAAAAATTGCGAATGTTAGTAAATTATATTATTTGGTCCGAATTACGAAAAAAGAACCTAACCCAGTAGCCATTTTTCTAGGCATCATACATTCCCGTAGATTCGAAACCCGGGGACTCTCATTATTCAGAGTATTTTTCCGAAACATACATCAGCTACAACTTTCGTTTTAAAAATTCTATTATATTTTGGTACAAAATTGATTTAAGAATGTTCAAAATTAAGTTGTATGATGTGGGAATTTTTGTGCTCCTGACATCCATGCATGTATGCATGGTCCTTCAGCCGGTGATCGAGGCCAATGTCAATATGAAGGCATCCTATCCCGCTGTGGATAGGAGCTTGTGGCTTCAAGTGAGCTATAAGTACAACCATTGGATGTTGGTCAAGTCGATAATGTACTCGATGCTTGCGGTAGTGGGACTTTGGTACAGTCGGCATCTGCAAAGGCCTGCGGAACCATGCAGTGCCGAGGAAGTCAAAAATAGATGGCTAAGCAGGAATCAAATGGCTTCCAGAGGGATGGATTCGTTCAAATTTCCCATCAGGACTTTCATGTGGTTTGCAATTCCTTGGACATTGACCTGTTTCTGCAGCGGCTTGATCAACTATATTCGCCTTTATCTGGTGATTCAGCATTTTTGCTTTACCAACTGGCAGATCATTCAGTTATATGCAGAACTTCAGGTACTCTTCTGGCGTCGTCTTTTAGCCATGGCGGTGATTCCCTATTGGTCGCAGATCACCGGAGACGGCGGTTCCTTGGAGAAGTCCAATTTTCATGAAAATTTCATCACTTATGAGACTAATCTGTTGGATTGATCACGCTCTATTTGTATATTTTAAGTTCTAATTAATTAAAATGCAACTTTAAAACATAAACTATTGGACTTTCTTAATTGATTCTTGATACTTATTATTGGAACTTATTTATTTAGAATAATCTGACAATGTGCAGTTTCAAATATATATTTCTTTAAATAAATATATTGAATTGAATGCACGGCTTTAATTTTTGCAATAAAAGTGGCTTGTTTTAATTTATCTACTGTATTTCCATTGTTTACTCTTTTCTGCATTGTCGCCCAGCGACAATAAACGACATTTTCTATCAACAAAAGAATAGAGTAAACTTTTCCATGAACTTTCCTGGCAGTTTATTGTCAGGAAAAACTTTGCCTCCACGTGGGAAATATGTGCGGCAATCACTTTTTCTTTTCTCACTTGAATAAATGTGTGAAAAAAAAACTGAGTAAAATACAGGTAAAGCTTTGATTTGAAATCGCTTAAGATGAATGCTATAATAGTAATCCCAACAACACTGACAAGTCACTCAAACTAGTTCAGTTCACTTTAAATACGGAAAACTCTCCGAGAAAATTTCCAAATTGTACACCGACAATACAATTTACAAAACGAACATCAGTTGAGTTTCGGTCTTGATTGATCGTGCCTTGTGCCATCGACAGGATCAGCAGGACCTGGTACAGTTACGAGACAGGGAAATAAACCCACACACTACCAGAAAGTTGTTTCCAGACTTTTCCCCACGTCACGAAAAGTCTCCAGTTCCCCAATTTCGGTCAAATACTGTTTTCAATTTGCTGGTAAGTTGAATTGATCTTTACTATCTACTTAGCAGGATTCTCTTTTAGTTAAAAAATTAAGACTTGAAGAACTTTAAGAATTCTAGAACAGGAAAGTAAATATTTCACAGCCATTGACAATATTTTTGCTTTTTTAAGTGCGTTTTATGTAGAAATATTAAATAAGGGATAAAGTATAACAAAATAAAGCACTTACCATTTCCAAGAGGTATTGTCAGTTGACCGTTCACTGAAAGAAAATAGAAAAGAGTTAATTAATTTAAAATTCAGATTTGGAACCTAGTACTATCCTAATATAATTTTTTGCCTGTATTTAGCCTTTCTTTACAATTAAAAAGTGTATTTATTTAATCTGATCTTGTTTTTTTGCAATATTTTTTTTTTTTCATTTTCTTATATATATTTAAATAAGATCCTAAAGCGTTAAATATTATAGGGAATAATAATAGTCATAACAATTAAAACTAAAACATAATCAAATACCAGTATATCAAAGAAGGTATCCCCTGATTATACTCTATAGTTTCATGCCCATCAAATCTATAAAGATAATTCGATTATAATCTTTAAGCAAAGGTTTTTCTTGAAACCAAGAGATGCCATTATTTATACCTGTTTCTTGTCCTCTGATAACATTTACTCTTAATTTCGTAAGCATTTTTCTCATTAATCTAGTATACCGTTTCTTTTCAGTTAATCGAGCACTGTTTCGGATTATGTTTCAGTCATTCGGTTTTGTACAAGGAAAGCAGTCACAGTGTATTTCTTTTAATACTTTATATTACACATCTTAAACAGATTTGGTTGCTCAATTTGCTTGAAATAGAAGCGTGACAAAATTATCAAAACCTTGTTACCAAAACCAGAAATCGAGCACGAAACAGCCACGCGACCGCGCACATCCTAAATCCCCCGAAAAATTCCGATCGAACCATCCAACCATCCATCTGTTTATTAGTAATCCTTTCGAAGAGAAAATGCGCGGAGAACTGATGCTGCGCGGCGCTGCCCTGGCCAGGAGCATGAAACTGGGACGTGTTCGGATCAGTTATGTGCCCGTGCGCCATGTCACTGCCGGCTGTGGTGCCGGCGATGCCCCCAAGGGTGGCAAGGGTCTGGTCGTTGGCCTCTACGAGGAGGAAGCCGGCAAGGGGCCCAGGCTAACGCCCGCCGGCGAGACGGTCAACGATCGTGTCCAGGGCAAACTATCAGAGATGATCTGCGAGACGAAGCTAACAGGGCGACTGGGTCGCGGAAAGGTCTTCAATAATGTGGATACCGACTTTCGATCCATTTGTGTAGTCGGCTTGGGGCTCGAGGGTATCGCCTTCAATGAACTGGAGATGCTGGACGAGGGCATGGAGAATGTACGAGTGGCCGCGGGCATTGGCGCCCGATCACTGCAGAGCATTGGTTGCAACGAGGTGCATGTGGATAATATGGATTATCCCGAGCAGGCTGCCGAGGGATCAGCATTGGCCATCTGGCGATTTGAGGAGAATTTGGCCAAGAAACATCGCACCACCATACCGAAACTGGTGCTCTTCGGTTCACCCGATATGGAGTCATGGACGCGTGGCTTGTTCAAGGCGGAATCACAAAATTTGGCAAGAAGACTGGCCGATGCACCAGCCAATTGTATGACACCCACAATGGTGGCTCAGGCAGCGGTGGATTCTCTATGCCCGTGTGGCATATCCGTAGAAGTCCGTACCATGGAGTGGATCGAGCAGCAACATCTCAACTCTTTCCTAATGATCGCCAAGGGCAGTTGTGAGCCACCCGTATTTCTGGAGGTTGCCTACTGTGGCACTGCACCCGAGGATAAGCCCATTTTGCTGGTCGGGCAGGGCATTACATTTAATTCCGGCGGAATCAATCTCCGCCCGTCCAAGGGCATGGATGAGTTTCGTGGCGATCTCACTGGCGCCGCCTGCATTTTGGCCGCCATGCGAGCCGCCGCCGCCTTATCCCTGCCCATTAATATAACGGCGGTGATTCCGCTATGCGAGAATATGCCCTCGGGAATGTCCTGCAAGCCCGGCGATGTGGTTACGTTGCTCAATGCCAAATCGATGGCCGTCAGGAATATCAGCCGAACCGGAGTGGTGGTTATTGCCGATCCCATGCTCTATGGACAGATGACGTACAAGCCACGTCTAGTCGTGGACGTTGGCTCGATGTGTAAGGGTGTAAAGAAGGCCGTTGGTGGCGGAGCCACTGGCATCTGGTCGAATTCGCATTACATCTGGAAGCAATTCCAAAGGGCTGGCTCCCTCACCGGCGATCGTCTGTGGCGCTTCCCCCTGTGGCGTTATTACAAGGATCGTGTTGCCGAGCATAAAAGTTTCGATCTGTTGAACGATGGCGATGGCTATGCGTCATCCTGTCTGGCAGCCGCTGTCCTTCACGAGCTGGTGCCCTGCAGTGATTGGGCGCATCTTGATACCTATGGCACTGGTTTGTTGAGTACCTATGGTCTCGTCCCATATCTAACCGCCGGACGGATGACCGGTAGGCCGACGAGGACGATAGTGCAGTTCCTTTACCAAATGGCTTGTCCTGCCGATACGCCCAAATAGGATAATGAATCAATTGAATCTGGGGATTATGTTTAGTTGATTCCATATGACAATCAGAGGACTTCCCCGGCCCCGGGCGTATTCATTTTGGCTTCAAACGTGCATAGATAACACGATGATGACCATTTTACTTACAAGAACCATAATCTTGTTGAATGTTTGTGTTTCAAGTTTATTGACGCGGCCATACCCCAGGGTTGGATCATAGAAGAGAGAGGCATTTCAAGGCCTAAAATATCGTCGAAATTGCCAACAGATAAAATCATTGTAAATTATGTAAATTAAGACTTTCGGCTGTCTATAACAGAATGTAATAAATTTTTGGGTATTTAAAATCTATTTAACCATCTTTATATTGTTTCAGTTGGTTTAAATTGGTTGGTTTTCTTTCTCAAGTCAAAACTATAGTATCCTTTTTCTAATCCACCTGAACTCTGTACCATTTTAAGCCCAAAATGACGTGTCATAATCCCACCTTCAATGAAATGACTTGAACTAAGTTTAAGGGTAAGTATTAGCTACAGATTTGGTCAATTTAATGATTTTCCCATTCAATTGTAGCTGGAAAATGTCCCCACTAAACTGCAGTCCAAGGACCTTCTCGATGGTCTTTCCAACAAAGTCAGATAAACACAAAGAACTCGGCCGCACCATGGTCTCCTTTCCAATTCGACTTTTGGCATATCAATAAAGTTAAGTCAGACGGGGGAGGAGTGACAGGACATGGAGTGACAGGATATTCCAGAGTTTGTGTGGCAAAGTTTTAGCAGCACGTTATTGATGCTCGGCTCAGCGGCAGCTTGGGCTAAAATTTTCAAACTTTGCACCATAGACGTGCTCCTTGTAAGGCTAAGGACAATTGAAAGACTTCCCTCAGTGCACTCTATTTGTCGACTAATTCAATTGGTCGACGTAAAAACGCTTTAGATTAATACTCCAGATCAGGGCTATGAGTTGGCACAAAAAGCTGAAAAACTCACTCACAGGACACGCATGCATTTTTAAACCATTTCTCAGCCAAAGTGCCTGCAATTGACACTCCACACATCATTTATCATTAGCCATAGTTTCAATTGAGGTTTCGATTTCTGTGTGCCTGTTCCCCTTTTTCTTTTTCGCCAATGATGTGCTAATTGCAACAAACTCAATAATGAAAATGTATGCCAGGCAGCAGCTAATCTGTCAATGTCAATATTTTATGTGGCCCCCTCCTCCCCCATATTTGGCTTTAAAAATATTTGCAAGCATTTTTCACTAGGTTCTGGTCAAAAACAAGGCCTGAATGCACAGCGGAAAATGTTATTTAAAGGTGTGATTAAGGAGTTTTATTTGTGAAAAGGTAAGTATGTATTTCGTAAGCTAAAATCGATCTTTCATATTATTCTTATAATATTTTTGCAGTTATACAGTATATCATTTTATTTACATTCCTTTGAAATATATGTAAATGACTTATTACCTTGTAGTAATTAATATTTATCTTTTATAATACAAAAACATGTATTTTTAGTGTTCTTTTAAACTGAAATCCATCTTAAGTGACTTCCAAAACTATCCTGATAAATGATAAAACACACTTCACTATAAATATTTTGTTTTATCAACTTCTAACAAGTAAATTATACTCTCCTAAGCCTCACAGATTTTTATTAACAGTGATTTTGTATTCTAAAAATTGTACCAATAACTCATTTTCTGCGATCCCATTCTAAAAATAGAATATGGCATAATTATTCAAAGTGTTTTCCCGTCTGCTATATAGTTCATTCCAAGCCCTGTCAACTTTGGTAATGATAAAGTGTTTCATTATGGGTCGTGGCCTCCCCCCCTTTCGAAATCGTGCAAAACTGCTGACAGCATAGTGGGGGGGGGTGGAGGGGGAAAGGCAGGAAAATGTGGAAAAATCCAGAGAAAGAGCAGACGGAGACCGACAAACCTGTGTGAGAGAGGTGTAAAAACTTTTATGGCTTAATTCTGCACCAGCTCTCGTCTCTTTTTTTGGCAGTGTTGTCAGCAAGTTGGTTGCCTGCCAAACAGAGTTTCCACCACGCCAACTGCACAGCTAGGCTGCGCACTTTTCCGGGCTTGAAACTATTAAAGTGTCACTTGGCTGAGTATAGTTGTCGCACTCTTTGGTTGGGATTAATTTTGAGCTTATATAATTAAGGGAAAGGTTACGCCTGTCTCTTAGAAAACTTTGAAGTAATAAACTTATTGCACTTTAAATTTGATTATAATCAGACGGATATAATTAAAGGGATACAGGTCAGTCCGTGTTGGTGCATTGGCCTTTGCTGTCATTTGTCTGTCACAACGATATGATCTGTTGGCCATCTTCCGCCTTCATTTTGGCCTTCTCCTACTCGTTCTACTAGACATCACAATTATCCGTCCCGGTCCCCATTCCCCCCCACTTTCCATGAGAATGCTTTTCTGTATTGTTATTTATGACGGGCATTGGCAGGAAACGGATATGCGTGCTTGGACGTCAACGTGTCACAGCCAGCAGAGTATGATGTTGCCCCCCTTTCCGGCGGCTCTTTCACTGCCACTGTCATTTGGCTGTGGCCAATGCCAAAGTTGGCCGCCAGACAAATCGTTTCGACCAGGTTCGAGAGCAGAACACACACATGCACACCCATTATTATTATTCCCCTCATTCAATCGATCCAGTTTCAGTCCAGTGCAGTTCAGAGTTTGATGGATGCAATTCGTCCGAGTTGTGATAGTTAACTGTCGGAAAGGTCAGCTGTTGGTGTCGACAAACAATCAAGGTTGGAAGTGGGCATAAAAGTGGGGAATTTTTATGTCATTCAATGAAAAGTCAAATGATGTTGTTTAAGGTTTAATCAAGACACTAAACTACAAATGCTGTTACTACAAACTTCAGTTTCCAAACGAAATCTTTAATAAACCCCACATTTAACAACTACAAATACCTAAGCTTTCCACCAACCAATTTCGGTAAGCATTAAAGGCAATTTCGTGGCATTTTCTGCATAACTAAAGGAGTAAAAGAAGGGTCGCTGGTATATAAACAACCATAACGAAACCATTTAAAGAGCACATTAAGCACACCGGTTATGTGTGTGTGTGAACTGCGTGTTTTGCGGGGATGCTATCCTCTCTCGTTTGGGGTTCCAATGCAGTCAGGCAGACGGACAGACAGACGGACAGACGGACAAACGGAAAGCAGCAAACTCCTATGCGTAATGCCCATAAATGTTGTGTTGTGGTCAAAGCCAGCCAGTGCACCCTGTGCCACGCCCTTGCTTTACCACAGCATTTCCTGGCATCGCCTCCCACGTCCCCAAAGCAAGCACAACCACAGAATGAAGTCGCTTTTAATTAATGCCATAGCACACACATATAGTCATGGTGCATAAATTGCTGCGAAAAAAAATAGGGAAAGCGTACCCAAAAAAGAGGTCTAAAATTAAATTTTCCCCGCTCTCTTATTTTCCCATTCAATTTGGGGGGTGGCATTAAATGCAAATTTGTACAAATTAGTCCTTGAAAATATTGTGCACATTTAGTAGTAGTTAGAGGTGCTTTAATTGCTCTTGATCCACTCGTGTTTATATTTAATTACTTTCATTAAATCCTGATTGTAAGCCACAACAAATGGCAGCAAATTTCAGTCAATTTAATTCAAATAATTTTTAGGAATGCAAGTAAATAAATTTAAAGAGAATTTGTTAAAGGTTGGAAACAAGCTTGGAAAAGAGTTGACATTTTTCTAAGAAAAGTAAATATTTTCTTATTGAGAAAAATATATGTCATATATTTTCTTGTGCTTCCATCTCCATAATTCCATCAATATCAAGCCTGTAAAGTCAAGAATATTGCGATGCATAGCACACTTTTCAGCGAGCACTTAGGAGCAAAGGAAACACAGACAGACACACGCATTGCCTGTCACGGAAAATCCACTTAAAATGACTGCCAACTGTCAGAGTGTCACCTGTTCGAGCCTCGTGGGCAAAAAGGCGACATCAGCGATCCGGGAAATCAACGAAAATGGAGCAACAATCGTGAAAATGGCTGCGCTAGATTGTCACTTCTTCTTTTTTATATTCTCTCTCTTTTTGTGTGGCTACTTTTTAGGATTTTTTTGTGTTATTTTTGTAGCTACCGCCCTTTGTGCTGCCTTTTCGCGCACAATTGAGAATTTATAAAAAGCGGATGTTGTGTTTTCCGGCGGAAAAAACTTGGCTGCAGGGCTGCACCCAAAGAAACTTAACAAAAAGCTAAAAAAAAATTATAGAATGAATGAAAAGAAATGGAAAACAAGAAAGGAAGCTAACTTCGGCACGCCGAAGTTTATATACCCTTGCAGATAGAACTTCTATGAATAGGAATCCATACAATATAAATTATATATACTTGTGTTAAAAAACAATGAAGTAATACCTGCTTTCATTTCATTCACCTATACATATTATATTTGCAGTTTTACATTCACAGATTTGCATTTTTCCTCTACATCAAACGATCGTTTGTATGGCACCTATATGATATAGTCGTCCGATTTTTATGAAATTTTCCACAAAATTTTAGACTTATATAAAATGGCTATACCTCAAATTTGATGAAAATCAGCTGAAAACTAAAAAAGTTATAAATTTAATTGTATTAATTTCTCGATCGTTCCTATGGGAGCTATATGATATAGTCGTCCAATTTTCATAAAATTTTACACAAAATTTTAGAATAATATGAAATGGCTATATTTCAAATTTGACTAAATTCTGTTGAAAACTAAAAATGTTATCGCCACCGCGATTGTCAGTCTTCCGACAACAGCCACCGCCATTCTCATTCCTCTCAAATTTCTCGATCGTTCCTATGGGAGCTATATGATATACATATTAGTCCGATTTTCATAAAATTTTACACAAAATTGTAGAATAATATGAAACGGCTATATCTCAAATTTGATGAAAATCTGTTGAAAACTGAAAATGTTATACTTTTTAATTGAATTAATTTCTCGATCGTTCCAATGGGAGCTATATGATATAGTCGTCCGATTTTCATAAAATTTTACACAAAATTGTAGAATAATATGAAATGGCTATATCTCAAATTTGATCAAATTCTGTTGAAAACTAAAAATTTTATAATTTTTTTTGTAAAACTTTTCCGATCATTCCTATGACAGCTATATGATATAGTCGTCCGATCCGGCCCGTTCCGACATATATACGAGTGAGAGTATATAGAAGACTAACTGCAAAGTTTCATTCAGATAGCTCCAAAACTGAGAGACTAGTTTGCGTAGAAACGGACAGACGGACAGACGGACAGACGGACAGACGGACAGACGGACAGACGGA